AATCACAATTGGAAGTCACGCCAAAAGTAATAATAATAGTAATAATAATATTAATAATAATAATATTTGAAACCATGAATCGATCAATGTTAAACCACCATTAGAAACCTGAAAGCACTAGACGGTCGTTTCGTCCTGGTATGGGTCTCATTAGCAGTGTGCATCCACACTCCTGCACCTCACAGGACTCGAACCCGGGACCTTCAGCACCGTGCGCGAACGCCTAACCATTGGACCACTGGGCCGGCATAGGAGGACGAAACAGCCGTCCAGTGCTTCCAGGTTTCTAATAGTGGTGGTCTAACAATGATTGATTGGTGATTTCAAATGTGTAAAAACACTTATCTGTATAACTCTAATTGAAAAAAATAACTGTATAAATCTATGGCAAGAATAGAATAAGAAATTTACCTTTCAAATAAGAACCAAACTATTGTTTCGGAAATCATTTTTCTAACTGCAAATGGCATAATTGCCCAGATTATGGACAATGGTTTCCAAAGTAGAAATTTCAAAACGTGCCCCAACATAGTATAACGTAGACAGTAACATAAATACAAACTTCCACAAACGGTAAGATATAATATCACAATAGTTATATAATCCATGTTGTTGAGCGCGCTAATGAAGTTAGCTCAATGAATATTGGAAATCTTCAAATATTCGCCATGATGTGAAAAAAAACTGATAGTTGCCTAAAAATAAGAATCATAAGTAAAAAAAAATCAATTAATCGAATGGGGAAAATTGACTAACATAACACAACCTACTTCAAATTATCTTTGGAAGGAATTAAATATTTTTATGAACTCAATGAATATTTGATAGGTTTGATATGGAAGCTATGATAAAAAATTATCACATTCAGCTGATGCTACTTACTAACAAATAAGTAGACGGGAAATATTTTTTGGTTTTACACAAATCAAATGTAAAGAGATTCAAACATAAATGAAGTGAGATTGAAAGATAGTTTCACATGCCCTAAATAAAGTAGTTTTATATTGATATGGTATATTCTGATATTGTCACTAACAATAGTCATATCAAAATAATACGGGTATTATGGCATTTAAATAACAATTCTGTGTAGATCGAGTTGACAGATTATTTTTTACACATTTGAAATCATCAATCAGTCATTGTTAGACCACCACTATTAGAAACCTGGAAGCACTGGACAGCTGTTTCGTCCTGGTATGGGAGTCTTCAGCAGTACGCATCCACGACTCCTGCACCTCTCAGGATTCGAACCCGGGACCTTCGGTATTGTGTGCGAACGCCTAACCATCGGACTACTGGACCGGCATCCAACGGTATTAATGTCTAACTCTGATTGATCTAGGGATTTTGCGCGACCTCACCCATTTGTCTTTGGTAGTTACTGCCTACACCCGACAGGGTTGAACTCCATTGGTCACGTCTTCTCTCAATACAACTCCGAGAATTTCCTCACGAAGCTAGTCACTAGTGAGCACTGTAACGATATTTTGGGGTACAGTTTTGGAGGTTTGCGACTATTTACAAATTTGAAATCATCAATCAATCATTGTTAGACCACCATTAGAAACAGATTATATTTGGCAGTGGAATGTAGAGCGATAAATTAGTCATATAATCTTTGAATTAAATACGCAACATTGTTTAATCAAACATTATTCAATACAATCATTCAGAAAATACTTCACATATATAAGAACAAAGTACATATACATAAGTATTTTATAGAAACTATAATAAATCGGTATGTAGTACAAACATATATAATGAGAAAAATCTAGTACACTTTTGAAATCAATAAATTGATGACCATTCTACGCAGTACTAATGCATTTTCAAATAAAATAATACAGTTTTAGTAACAAAATTAAAGAAATATTAAAATATAGATCTATATAATTACTACTACATAGACAAATTATTTATAGAATGACAGGCAACTACTTTGTAACGATTATGATTACTAATGAGTGAATTAGAACTCTACAATGTGTGTATAGGTGATCTGTTATAAATGAACGCAAAATCTGAATTCCTATCCACTTCGAATAGCTACAGACCAAAAGAAAAGGAGTGAAATAGGCGGTGAATGCTTTACTCCAAAGTTATTTTATGTACAGAACAGTGAGGGTATTTAAAAAGAGTTGACGATGACTTCGGACTTCTGGAAGGTTCTAGAACCATTCAAACTATAACAGCGGCATGGCTAAATATCCAATCACAATCGTGGTATGTGATTGGTTTATCTTGAGAAATATGTAAAAGTAGCTAGTAATTTCTAAACTAAGCCGACGGTAGACGCATTCCAAATTAGTAAAGAGGATTTATAGAGCTTGTCTTATTTTCACCGTTGAAATTCACGAGCTGATTAACGCAAGGCGATCATTGAAGATTTGGAAGCAGTAGGCCGACGCTTCATTTTAGTGTGGGACTCCTCTGAAGTGAACAACCATGATCCCACATCCGGGAATGAAATATAAGACCTGTGGTCTCGTGCGTGAACGCTTAAACCGTAAACCGCTGAGTCGTCATTCAACGGAGTTTGTGTCTAACTTCAATTATTTCACGGTTTTTTCTCAGTAGCCTAGAGGTTAAGCGGTTTTTTACGAGACCGAAGGTCTTGGGTATGATTTCTGAGTGCAAGATCGTGGGGAGGCACGGCGGTTGGGTTCCCAGATATTCAATAATGGCCTAGCGTTAATCATTTCGCCATTCTAACCATGAAAATCTTAAACTAGTCTGATGCTAGGTTATTCGATTCGATCAACACGAAGCATGTTACTTAAAATTTATTGTAGTACTAGTCATCAAGATGCTCCTTTAATCTTAAGAGGAACACATATTTTCTGTTGGGTTCGAACAAGTGACATGCAGTGTAATGAAACTGAAACTTTCAGATTACTAACCGTTTTATAAATGCATGAAGTAAACAGGCCGTCACAAACAACAGCATTTTACAGTCACTTGATTTCACCAAACTACGAACAATATGGCAATAAATCTTAGCTGTACAAAAAAAGCATCTCAGTATTGCACACAACAGTACACAGAACATTTCAAAACTATAATGTTCACAGTTGAATGTGAAAATAATTCATGTTGAAGGCTATTTCTATGCACAAACAAAACTGGCCTAATTCGTTATTGGTTTGTACCGTGAGATGGAATGAATTGGTTGATATAGTGTTGAACTATTAAGTTATTTCACCTAAACTAATAGAAGCGTTTCACTGATTCCTAATAAATTTTCCATTTAGTTGATTACATAATAATTATTAAAAAATATCGTACACATCACAGAACATACTCAATAATATTAAACACTTTACAGGTAACTTGGTTTTATTTAAGGTGATGATTGGAGGTAATCGGCAGGAGACCCTGAATTTAGGTTTCGCAATATTCGGCACAGGTACCCTTGAGGGAAATGATACTGTCTGGCGAGTCCGATCGCGTGTCGAAATCCTGTTACATATCTAGTCCCTAAGACTAGTAACCACATCCTCACGTCATGGATAGATTTCGACTGACACTTAGGAACTGAACATAAATAACACACAAAGAAAACGGTCATTACTCAGTGACCACCAAAATTATAAACCAGCCCACTTAAATTTATCGTGTCCGACTACAGCTAATGCAATGCGGGAATCAAAAAATATTAGGGTCTGAAGCTATTATTCAACAAGTATAATCCAGTGAAGTAAATTTAAAGAGAGAGAAAGATAAATGTGATGAAGAATCCAGATGATTAGGATTTGAGAGAAGACAGAGAATGAATGTATCTGTGCCATTACAAACGATTTTGAGCTACGTCGTTCAAGGTCTCTAACCATTGGTGACTTTCGTCTCGCGGACCCAAACCAGGTAGTCTACATCTACCAACATCACTCAGTCCACTTGTCAGTGATTTCATGGATTTGTGCCATGTTTTGGTCTGGTCGCCCCTAACTTTCTTCCAACCTACTCCTACACCACAAAACATAGCTCGTTGAGGCAGTCGGTGGTTAGGCATACGTAACATATGTGTTCATCAGTTGATCTGGTATCCTTGCCTCATACATTTTTCCTAACAATGTCATTGCTTACTCGATAGTCCCAAATTAAACGAACGATGCTTCGAAGACACCGATAATCAAATACCAATAACCTATGAATATCCTCTACTCTTACTAGTTACATGTTTCACAGCTATAATGTAGGATGGATAGAATTGCTGCTGCGTAGTAAACTTGTCCTTTGGTTGGTCGATAGATGGATATCTTGCCTACGCCATAAATAACGCAAGTTGATTACTAAAAATAATGATAACGTTTTATTTATATTTTTAAACGTAACACACGTCCTGTTTCAATAATTTTTCGTGAAAAAAAATAAAAATATTGTTTAGTTTTACTTATTACAAACACAATAATAATGAAAATGATAATCATAATCATAAACTTTTGCAATGTCAATCTGCATGCACACTGCCACTCATGAGTAGTCTCACATACTGAAGTGAAAGAGAACACAGGTGGGGCAACCGGATTGTATTTAACGAAATTACAGAGTTACTCAGTAAAATCGGAAAACCATATCGTAAATCGTTTTAATTTGCAAAATATCAGTCCATCATATCGAACTGGACTGTTCCTGTTGCAAACAACATCAATCCATTGTCACTATTCTCATGCGTTTCATACAAATTCCATTGTGTTCTAACTCTTCCTTTCTTGATCTTCCCCTATCTTCTGCTGCCAGACATTACGTTGACACTCACGTCATATACTACTTATAAGTAGCTCACATCACAATACCAAGACGAAACAGCTATCCAGTGCTTTCAAGTTTCTAATAATGGCGGTCTAACATCATTGATCGACTCACGATTTTAATGAATCGTTTTTTTTACCACTAACCGAATCCAGTTGGTATGTGCAGAGTACACAATAGAATATTACATATTCTAGTCACACCTACACTACTCCGTCGAGTACACACACGAACATATAAGCATGCTCACACACACACACAAATACAGAGAGCGACATACACACACACACAAACGTCCATGGCATTCAATCTCTAAATAAAACAATCTACACACCGAGTTGTGATACTTTAATGAATTCCTTTCGGTTAAAAAAAGGAAAACCAATATGAATTGTATGGGTGTGTGTGTGTGCGTGTGCGCGCACAAAAAAGTTACACATCATGCAAAATTTGGTACGCTCAACAACAGAAAAAAATAAACAAGTCGGATTTCTGTCACATTATTATTATTAATATTTTTAAATTTTATTTTATTTTTAAATACACATTGGATTTTTAAACAAATAAACAGATAATCAGTTTCACCAATTACAATAATAATAACAACAACAGGAGTAAGAAGAAAAAATCAAGATTAAAGAAGAAGTCAATTTGAGCATTAGCCTAGTTTATTTAATCTTGACGAGTTTGAAAATAATTCGGATAGAAACGTAAACCCGCTTCACTGTCATCACGACAAATAAGACCGATTTCTTCCACTGCTAATAGTCTGGCTTTAGCTAAAAATGGTGGCAAATTCAATGTACGAGCAAGTTCATCAGCTGACAGACTGATACGTTTCTCAACTAATTCTGCGGTTGATTTCAATGTTTCCATTTCATCTTCTGATGCCAACTGGAGAACCTAACATTAAACAGATAAATAAATATTTTACAGTTTAATTGAATATAAATTTTATTAAAAATTGTCATTAGACGGTTGTAGACGCTGTTGAACAGTTAGTAAGTCAGTTACAACACAGAACTTCCTACGTACATGCAAAAGTTCAGGTCGCTGTATCACATTAGCACAGAGCTGCGATTGTCGATTGAAATCCCATAGTGGTAGATCCAGCAAAAGTATTACTGGTGATGGAGATTAGGGTTCGAAGATATTATTTAAAAAGTATAATTCAGTGAGATAAATTTGGAAAGAGAAAGATAGAGGTGATGAGGAATTCAGAAGATTGGGATTTGAGAGAACACAAAGAATGGGGATACACCTGCGCCATTGCAAATGATTTTGTGTCATGTCATTCAAGGTCTCTAACAATCGGTTACTATCACCTTGCGGACACCACACCAACCAGGTAGTCTACATCTAATAACATGACTCAGTCCACTTGTCAGTGACTTCATGGATTAGTGCCATGTTTTGGTCTGGACGCCCCAACTGTCTTTCAACCTACTCCTACACCAGAAAACATCGCTCGTCGAGGCAGCCGGCGGTTGGGAATACGTAACACATGTACCAACCACTTCAAATATTAAAGTTTCAAGCTGCTGAACATCAATGAATCGATCGATTTTTGGTACATCATTAAAAACTCGTAAGCACTGGACAACCGTTTCATCCTAGTTTGGAACTCCTCAGTGGCAGTGCGCATTTACGACCTCCTCTGGCGGGAATCGGACACATGACCTTCAGTCATACGCGCAAACACTTAACTTCTAGACTACTTAGCCAGCATCCAACAGATGTAATGTTTAACTAACTCACTCAGCTAACAAAATCCAAAAACATAATAATAATATTTTTAACAATTTATATAAATTAATTCATTAAGCAATATTAAATAACTAATCTTTATGTTTTGGGGCAGAGTTTTGGAGGTTTGTGTTTTTTCACAATTGCAATCATCAACCAATCATTGTTAGACCACCATTAGAAACCTGGAAGCACTGGACGGCCGTTTCGTCCTGGTATGGGACTCATCAGCAGTGCGCATCCACGACTCCTACTCCTCGTGTGGTGCGCGCTACTTATTAGTAGTATATGACGCGAGTGTAAATGTAATGTCTGGCAGTAGAAGATGGGCGAAGATCAATAAGAAAGGAAGAGTGGGAACACAATGGAATTTGTATGAAACGCATGAATAGTGAGTGAAATGTCAGACAATGGATTGATGATGGATTGAAGATTTGCAAATTAACCGTTTACGATATGGTTTTCCTATTTTACTGAGTAACTCTGTAATTTGCGATGAATACAATTCGGTTGCCCTCACCTGTGTTCTCCTTCACTACACTCGCAGGATTCGGACCTCCAAAGCTCTGCCCCAAAATATCGTAACAGTGCTCACTAGTGACTAGCTTCGTGAGGAAATTCTAGCAGTACTAGTTGAGAAGATGTGACCAGTGGAGTTCAACCTTGTCGGGTGTAGGCAGTAACTACTACCAAAGACAAATGGGTGAGGTCGCGCAAAATCCCTAGATCAATCAGAGTTAGACATTAATACCATTGGGTGCTGGCCCAGTGGTCCGATGGTTAGGCGTTCGCGCACAATACCTAAAGTTCCGGGTTCGAATCCTGCGAGGTGCAGGAGTCGTGGATGCGCACTGCTGATGAGCTAGTCCCATACCATGACGAAACGACCGTCCAGTGCTTCCAGGTTTCTAATAGTGGTGATCTAACAATGATTGATTGATGATTTCAAATGTGATAATATATATGTCTATACATAATCAATGCACTTACTAAAAGTCCATTTCCATATGCTTTCAATTTAATTGGTAAATTTTCTTTTTCTAAATAACGACAAGCTTTAAGTAAATCTTCCGGTGATATTAAATCCATACCACGAGCACGATTAATTCGACAATATGCTGTAGCTAAATCAATACAACCAGTAGATGGCAATTGATGATGATCCACTGAATAATTTGAATATTGTTGACCTTTTAATAATGGATATAATAAATTGGATACTTGATGAGCTAATTGAATATAAAATGTTGTACTACTAACTGATGATGATGTCGACGACAATGATGTTGATGATACTGATGAAGATCCGCCTCTATAGTCATCACCACTATTGATAGCTTCAACAACTCCCATAGATAGCATAGTCGAACGTAATTCAGCAATTTCATTCACTGACAAATCACTACCCTGAATGCAAAGAAAAAATTAGTTAATAAAAAGATAAATCGATAAAAGTTTACTTTACAATGACCAATATGAAATTAAATCATTAAAGTTGGAATTTTCAATACAAATGTCATGAGAGTTCTATTGTATAAGACAAAGAACAGTTGGTGAATTACGAAAGCCATCAATCATAAGATACAACTGTTTATTAACAGATGTTTACGTTGGCCAGACACTATCAGCGACAATTTACTGTGATAGAGAACAAACCAGATTCCAGATGGGGAAGAAATGAGAGGAAAGCACTAGAGGTGGGGATAGGACACAACATTGAGGTAAGCATCCAACTATACTATGCCACAAGCCTTCATTTGAAATGCTCAAGGTCAAAGCAGAACAGAAAACCAAAGAACACATTACACCGAGAAATCGAGGCAGACATGAGAAGAATGAACAATTAGAAGGAAATGGAAAGGAAGACCTAGGACAGAGTAGATTGAAGAATGCTGGTTGGCGGCCTATGTGTTCCATTCAAGGTAACAGGTGTAAATAAGTAAAAAAGTTACCTACTTTACTTACTTACGCCTGTTACCCCCGATGGAGCATAGGCCGCACACCAGTTTTCTCCAACCTACTCTGTCCTGGACTTCCCTCTCCAGTTCTGTCCAATGTTTGTTCATTCTTCTCACATCTTTCTCTATTTCTCGGCGTAATGTGTTCTTTGGCCTTCTTCTTTTCCTTTTGCCTTCAGGGTTCCATGTGAGGGCTTGTCTCGTGACGCAGTTAGATGCTTTCCGCAATGTGTGTCCTATCCACTTCCACCGATTCTACCTGATTTCCTCCTCCACTGGAATCTGGTTTGTTCTCTCCCACAGTAAATTGTTCCTGATCGTGTCTGGCCAACGAATCCGAAGTTTTTTGAGTAGACAACTGTTAATAAATACCTGTATCTTCTGGATGATAGCTTTGGTAGTTCTCCATGTTTCCGCTCCATACGGTAGAACTGTCTTGACATTTGTATTGAAAATCCTGATTTTGGTTTTGGTTGAAAGTTGTTTGGAGTTTCAGATATTTTCAAGTAAGTAAGTAAGTAATACAAATCAAAAGTACACACACACACACCTACTTTGGTATCACGAATTTTCTTAGCTAATTGACGACTTAATTTCACCATTTCACTGGCATTATTCATCAATTGATTTAAATCTTCAAATGTTTCAATAATATTACGATCTGTTTCAACAGCACGTGCAGCTTGTTGTCGTTGAATTGCTCCAATACCTCCTGTACCATAAAATTTAGTTGTAGATTTCAAATCAGTATGATAAGATAATGTCCATAGTTTGACCTAAATTTATCAACAACAATAACAAAAGTTTTTGATTTAGAAAAATATTTTATTCACTGTTTACATGTTATTGTTTCAAAGTAATATCAACATATCAATTGTATACTGAACTTTTCCAACTGATGATTTAACTCTCAGTGGAATGATGAATCGACTATTGTTAGACCAGTATTAAGAGCCTACAAGCACTGGAAGATCAGTTCGTTCTAGTATGCGCATCTACGACCTCCTGACTCAACAATCGGACCAAAGACCTCCAGTGTCACGGAGTCTGAACGAGACCAATGAAGTTCAGCCCTGTCGAGTCCCGACCGTAGCTGCTAACCTTGACGTGGTGCTCGGGCTTGCCTATCGTGATGACCCAACCGAGCTATACTGGCTGGAAAATATGTTCCTGAATGTTCTACCATGCCAGGAGAACGATGAGACTAAAAACAAGCTACCCAAGGTCTGAGGGCGAAGTCGTACTGCTGACTGACTGTGGAGGGGTGTGACAGCAGTAAGGTGTTTCCCTCGGACAACCAGCATCTGCAGCGATGCTGCCTTCTCAAAAGGAAGGAAGGGTTAGAAAAGGTCGGCCCTAAAAATGTCACACCTCACCCTACCTCACGGATTTCCGTCTCCAGGGGGTAAGGGTGCCCACTAAGGGCTTTTAAGAGCGGAGCTAATACTCGAAAAACCTTTCATACAAAGGCCGTGCGAGACCGGCCTCAAGCAGTTGTCCCCTGGGCTCTGCGGTCACGCTCCCAGGTCGTTAAGACCAACACTAATCTATCTTCCTTTCCAGATCCCTCAAGAAACAACCTTCCACGGTGTGGGCAGCCGGGAAGTGATAACCGCCCTAATACCCGTAACAGCTTACGAGACCAAATTGGTCAAAATCAAATCCTTCTTACCCTGTCGAGTGTAGGCAGTTACCTACTAAAAACAGTGGATATATATATATATATATATATATATATATATATATATATATATATATATAGTAGTGGTGTTTCGTTCTCTGAGCTGGATAACGTTTTGGTTGTGGAGCTTTCTGAACAACATCATCAGCATAAACTTCAGATAGAAGTGAGTGATTTAAATTTCTCCACGTTTGACCCGTACCTTGTACTGTCAACCTCGATCTTCATTGGTTACTATCGACTTTAAACCTGTCGTTGTTTGCAACTTTGTCTTGACTGTATCCCTCATTGATCTGTTTCTCGATCCTATGTTTGCCTACGAGTTTTCTGATTTCACTTTTTCTATCTGAAGTTTGTGCTGCTGATGATGTTGTTCAGATGAAGAACAATGAAAGCTCCACAACCGAAACATTATCCAGCTCAGAGAACGCAACTCAACCACAATCATCCACCTAAGCTACAAATTTTCTCCACCATCTCAATATATGTATCTAAAGAGAATCATAAGTTCGTAATTTTCAATACAAAAGTATATGACTTTTTAGTAAAGATACCTGTAGAACTTCATTCAGAGCTTGTAGAAATTCATGATGTCCAGCCGTTGGAAAGCCTAATTTAACATGATCTTCTTTGGAATGATTGACAACTGCAGTTGTACTAAATGTGATATTATTATCATTATGCCTAGAATTGGAATTCACAACATCTTCACACCAATTTTCAATCCATTGTGGAGGATTCGGTAAACTAGCCAGAACATTTTGTAATGCTGCTACAGTTAACAAACGTAGCATTAATTTCGGTGTACGATTCACTGTCAAACTGGCACCGCCTTCTTCAAGTTTCACAGATACAATTGCAGCCAATGGGAGGGCGATGAAAGAACTAGTCAATGCTAAAGGATCTGACCATATGATACGATGAGTGGTTAGCTTAAGCAGACCACAATCAAAAGCACTTCGATTAGGTCCATCATATAAACGTACACCGGGTTTTTGCAGAACAATAGTTTCTTCATTTAAATTATCTTGATTAGTTGACCCGTAATTTTCAACATCATCTGAACACCAACGAAAACGGTCCATAAATTACATAGATCACGGATAATGTTGTATTTGTTTCTAAAAATAAAATCAATAAAATACTAACAGTTTAAAAAACAATCTAATCTAGTAAAGTAATAATATGCTTGTTTAACTCAGCAAAACTTTTTATCAACTATTCTCAAACGATTCATAAATAAGGATGTGCAAAATACTTTGACGTCATTAAGATTTTCCCAATTAAAATAACAAGTCTTTCAGGATAGGGTTGTGGTCAGTCAGTCAGTCAGATGCAACGTAGAACTTCATACGTAAGTACATCAGTTCATGTTGCCAAACTATATTAGCACAGAGATATAATTATCGATTCAAATCTAATAATAGTAGAGGTAGTAAAGCTATTAGAAGTAATCAGAGAAGTTAGGATTAGAAGATATTATTCAAGAAGTATGATTCAGTGAGATAAGTTTAGAAAGACAAAACTAGAGGTGTTGAAGAATCCAGAAGATTAGGATTTGAGAGAACACAAAGAATGAGAATGCACCGGCGCCATCGCAAACGATTTTAAGCCATTTCGTTCGTCTCGCGGACCCCCACCATGACTCAGTCCACTTGTCAGTGACTTCATGGATTGTCGCCATGTTTTGGTCTGGCCGCCCCCAACTTTCTTCCAACCTATTCCTACACTACAAAACAAAGCTCGCCGAGGCAGTCGGTGGTTAGGCATACGCAGCACATTTCCCAACATAGGGTTGTGGAGATTGTTAAGTTTCATTGAAATCATGAATCGATCAATCTAAGCTGTGATCCTCGCATGCGGGGTCGTAGATGCTTATTGCTGGAAAGTTCTCATCACTCAGCGCCTCCAGATTTTTAATTAGTAGTAGTCCAGTATTGATCGATTGTCATGATTTCAATGAAAAGAACAAGTGTTATACAGCGTTTCAGTAGTCCTTGAACTCTAGAAATGAATTAACAGAATGGCAATTCAAATAATATGTATGCTGACATTAATTATAACCACTCCAATGTCAATGATGACAGTAAAATATTCAACGTCTATAGAAATTTATAAAATCTAACACGTTCAATACTCCAAATGATATTTCCCCAGTGATTAGAATGAATCAGTTTAATTTTTAAGGTAGATAACCTACGCTTTGTAAAAACTTCAATAAAATGAAGTCATCAAACAAAAATGTTAGTGAACATTGGAAGCTGATTGCAAGTTTATTTTTCTTACTACAAAAAACATATCTAATCCTTCTAAAGTTATTTAAACTACTTAAAATACATAAAAAATTGTTACAACAGGACAACCTAGATATTTGTGAGTAGACTGTGATACTGCCCGGTTGCACTAACGCTTCCTTGGACAGAGGCTAGGTGAACCTCCCCTTTATCGTTCCAATTTCAGAATATGTACTGCCGAAGCGAGTGCAACAGCACGAAGAAGTCAACAACAGATAGAATATCTGTACTTAGAGAAGACAAAGTAAATATGTACAAAATATGAACACCTAATTTGAAATACAATTATGCTCCTGACTGTCTTCTCTCACATCGCTTATGGTCATTAATACAATTTGGTCGTGTCATATGTTGTTTCAGTGTCCAGACGTACTTTTCTGGCAACAACTTCTAAGCGATGCTCAGTTGCCGACTACTTATATGCCACCTTGTGAGTAGCGTCGACCAAACGTAATAAGTTTTGAAGTTAAAGACAGGTAAGGTAACTAGAAACTGTCAACCAACATAGAAACTAGTGTATAAATTCAATATTCATATAAACTCAACGGCTTTTTTTTGAAAAAAAACATCAAATAGGAACAAAAACAGAATGCCAATCCAACCGCTGGACACACAAGAAATTCTTGTCACCAATCAGGGGTTAGACCCAAGAACTATATAGAATACGTGTAAACCAATCACTATAGAGTATCATCCACACATCATCCAATTGGCGAATGGTGATTACTGATTCGCAGTTTCAAGTTACATTTTGTATGAAGCTTACAAAGAACCACTGAGTTTCAATCTCAAAATAATTCAAATATACATACTTCCAAGGATAAGACTGAAAGTTTACAGAACAAGGTCAAAATTACCTATTACATATTTAATCAGAAGAAGCAATCAGTCATCTTTTTGTAGATTGATTAGACTTAATTTCAGTTTGAACACAATAGTTGAATCAATCCTGACAAGCAACAACAACAAACTATAAGAAACAAGTAACTAAAAGTCACTTTATAAAACAATCACACTATACCCCCAGTAAATATTTTATAGACAATTCATTCTAGCGCGATCGGCGCTATATGCAACAACTAAAATGGATCAAAATTTACATCCATACACCTATATATTACTGAAATCACGGAATCGATCAATATTAGACTACCATTAGAAACTTGAAAGCACTGGACGACCGTTTTGTCCTAGTATAGGACTCGTCAACAATGCGAATCCACGATTACTGCTACGCGCAGGATTAGAATCCAAGATCTTAGGTCTTGCGCGTGAACTACTGAGTTGGTCGGCGTCCGACGGTGTTCATGTCTACCTCTGATCAATCTACAGATTTTGCACGACCTCAAACATCTGTCTTCGGTAGTTACTGCCTACACCCGACAGAGTTGAACTCCACTGGTCACATCTTCTCACTAGAACTCTGAGAATCTCCTCACGAAACTAGTCACTAGTGAGCACAGTTTACGATATTCTTTTCTCAATTAGAGTTATGGAGATTAGGTTATTTTTACACATTCAAATCGTCAATCAATCAATCAATCAGTGTGTTAGACCACCACCATCATTGAATAATATGCTGAACATTTGTTGTGTAATAATAAAATTTGTGTGGAAAATGCATAGCTTGTACTCTCCTACAAGTTATTTTATTTTGACTCATCATCATTAACTGATGTCAAAATCTACACACAAAATAAATCAGTGAATTTTTTTTTGACGAGTTAATAAAATCTTTGCATTTGCCGTCAGTTTTTTTTTCTTTTTTACGACTTTCTTGTATTGTGCATAAAGTTAGCTTTTTTAGAAAAAAAATATGATTTGTTTATTCTTTTTTTTCTGGCGGTTCCGTCAATTTTTAAACAAACACAAACAAAAGTCATTCAATATACGCTTTTGATGTAATCTGTCTTTGCCTCATCATCATCATAACCAGGAATAAATAAAGACGACAGAAAAAAAATATTGGTTTTTTTTAATTATTGTACTTGTAGTAAATATGATTGGTTAATTTGAAATCTAATCAACTTACTTGTAGGGACACACAAAAAGCGCACATACACACACACTCGCACTCACATTCACACGAAAGTGTATTATTAGTACTATTGTTAGTAGTATATCTTGAAAGTATCATCGAACGCTGAACAAGGAAGGGGTTGTATTATGGCAATCGACAGAATAACAGAAAAGAAACACACTAATAGAATACATGTATTGTGCAATAATAATAATAGTAATAATAATAATGACTTAATCATCATTATACAAATAATTTCTGTACACATTGGAAAGCACTGTATGTAAGCCAATAAAAATAAAATAAAATAAATAAAGCACATTCAACAACTACACATCCACTTGTTTGATGATGATGATCAATTGTCAATACTTGAAGTGTGTGTAGCGTGTATTATTTATTTTCCCGCCAAATAATTCAACCTTCAATGATCAATACACCTTTACTTCGATCTTTACGCGCAGAATCTAAGAAAATAATACATGCATATGTTAGAGAGGAGTTTATTTACAATTAAATATGAGAATTAAAATAAATAATATTTGTCATTGATGATATAAGAATGTTTGAAGTGTAGAGTTTGTTTGTTTATTTTTCGGTTGGATGTTTTAGTTATGAAAACGCAGACAGACAGAGAGATAGAACGCAGAACTTCGTACGTAAGTACATCAATTCAGGTTGTCATGCCCCATCAGCACAGAGCCGCAACTGTCAGTTCAAATCCAAGAGTGATAGCAATAATAGAAGTATTAGCTGTAATGAAGAAGATTAGGGTGCGAAGATATGATTCGACAAGTATTATTAAGTAAGATAAATTTAGAAGGAGAAAGATAGAGATTATGAGTAATTCAGAAGGTTAGAATTTCATAGAACACAAAAAGTGGATGCACCTGCGCCATTGCAAACGATTTTGAGCCATGTCGTTCAAGGTCTCTAACCATTGATGAATTTCGTTTCGCGGACCACAACCAGGTAGCCTACATCTACCGACATGACTCAGTCCACTTGTTTGTGATTTCATGGATTTCTGCCATATTTTGGTTTGGCCGCCCCTAGCTTTCTTCCAACATATTCTCGTACACCACAAAACGGCTCGTCTAGGCAGTCGATGGTTGGGCATACGTAACACATGTGTTCTAACCACCTCAACTGATGAAGTTCCAATACTTCATCTATGGATTTGCCATCCTTACCTAGTACTCGTTTCCTAATAACAGCATCGCTTACTCGATTGTGCCAGGATACACGAACCAATGCTTCGAAGGCATCTACAACCGAATACTAATAACCTATGAATATCCTCAACTTTTACTGGCCATGTTTCACACCCATAGATAAAAATAGAGTGATCTGATAAGCAGTAGACTCGTCCTTTGGTTAGCAGATGGATATCTCGTCTACGCTATAAGTTGGCAAAAGCCGACCGAGCTTTCTGTATCCGTGCTGAGATATCGTCACACACCAGGCCATCAACACTGATGAGAGTCCCAATAAAACAGTACACCTTATATAATATTGCATCAAAGTAACCAGAAAAAATATCAAAAGTTCAGATGAATACAAGCTTAAAAAGATGCTTAGAAATATCAGAATCGTTTCATATACATCGAAAATTAAATCTTTTAATGTTTCGTACTGCTTGAACATACTTCATTCGACTGGTTCCAAATCAAAAGAATTATGAAGTGAGCAAAAATGTACAGTCAACAAAACTACAGTTTATGCAAACTTTACACACGCATATCTTAATACCTTTTGTCACTTCATCTATTGGCATTGGTTTTCGAATATGCATTAATCAAAATGTTGTTTTGTTAGCACAACTCCAATAGTTGTATACAATACAATAGGAATATATAAATTTAATAAGAACACTGGAAGACAAGTCATCGATTAAACTCTAATAACCCAAACACTATTACGATTGCTCTCAAACCTAAAAAGAAACTTTCAGCTTCCAGGTTTCTAATAGTGGTCTAACATGGATCGATTCATGGTTTCAAAAAATGTATAACTTAACAATCTTCACAACAACCCCGTAATGCAAATTACCTGTGCTCACTAGTGACTAGCTTCGTGAGAAATCTTCTCCAAGTTCTAGTGGGAAGACGTGACCAGTGAAGTTCAACCTGTTCGGGTGTAGGCAGTGTCTACCGAAGACTGTGTATGAGGTTGCGCAACTCCTTGAATTTGATCAAGTTAGATATTAACACCGTTAGATACCGGCTAAGTGGTCTAACGGTTAGGGCGTTCGCGCACAATACCGAAGGTCCTGGGTCCGAATCAAGCGAGGTGCAGGAGTCGTGGATGCGCACTGTTGAGAAGTCCCATGCCACGACGAGACGGCCGTCCAGTGCTTCCAGGTTTCTAATGGTGGACTAACATTGATCGATTCATGGTTTCAAAATGTGTATTTTTATTACTGTTCATACATTAAGTTAAGCGAAGATTGTGCAAACTGATGATATCGCATAACATATACTTGAACTAATAATAAGACATAAATATATATATATATATATACATTTTAGTGAATTATCGATTAATTTGCTTTCAAAAAAAAAACTCACCTTCTATAGGATGATCCGGTACACTTGGGAGATTGATCACTTCCGGCTCAACTAGACGTGTTAATTCAAGTTCAATCTCATCATAATCATTATTCGATAGGCCACTAGAAACGATATTATTTAAATCCTAAGAAAATATAAAAGAGAGAGAATATCTATCCCCTTGAAACGAATGTTAAATGATATCAATTGTTTGTTTGTTTACAATAAGTTCATAGTTTACCTCACTGATTGAATGATTTAATCAATTGACGTTCACAACTAATAGATAACAAATCCGAATTGGACTACACTTACTAGAGTTTTAGACAACCTGGCTGTTACGCTTGCATGTAAACATGTCAACTTGATATACTTGAACTATTACGAGTTTACCTAGTCGGAAAACGAGAGCGAGGATCGAGGATCCGGTGACACGACATGCTACTTAAATCCGATTGTCCCAACCCCCATATTGAGTAAAAGAAGGCAAAACTTGATATGAAGTAGAACGCGTATTCTACAAGCATCCAGAAAGTACGGAACCGAATCCAGAAGAGAATCAGGATCCAGGACTAGGGATCCGGGACCGGGTCCTGGTCGTGGTCATAAAATGTTACACATAATGCGTATTTATACATTTTGGTCGAATAGGAAACAGCATCGAATTCTGTGGCATTGACAGTTAAGACGACCAATAGGAAGTAACATTTGAAATGACATTGACAGTCCGGATGACCAATAAGAGACAATGTTGAAATATTTGACTTTGACAGTTAAAACGACCATAATTCTGACCAATAATTCTCTTAGGATATTGGATGAATATCCTAACACTTGCAATATCATTGGTCCTCACAGTAAAAGAGTCAGTCAAAGTTAAGTACATATTCCTATGTTCTTTAAACGAACCACTCACTATCATATATTCAGTCAGTCAGTCAGTCAAATGGTCCATTACAACATAGAACTTGGTATGTACATACATCAGTTCAAGTTGCCGTACAACATAAGCACAGAGACATTGAATTGTTAGTTCAAATCCTATAGTAGTAAAAGTATAAGCAGTATAAGTGGAAAAGATTCAAGTTTGAACATATAATTCAAGAAGTATATCACAGTGAAATAAATTTAAAAATAGAAAACAAGGTCAGGAAGAATTTGAGAGATTAAGAACTGATCAGTCACAGTTTGTCAGCTATAACGTAAAACTTTGTACTTGCGTACATCACAATTCAAGTCGCCATACCATATCAGCACAGAGAGATAAAATTGTCATTTGAAATCTAATAGTGGAAGATGTAGTAGAAGTATTAGCGGTAATCAAAATGAATAAGGTTCGAAAATACTAAGTCAAGAAGTATAATTCAGTGAAATAAATTTGAGAACAGGAAGATGAAGGTCATGAGAAATTCACATTAGAATTAGAGAGAACACAAACAATCGATACACCTGAGCCATTGCAAACGATTTTCATTCATGTCATTCAGGGTCTCTAACCATTGGTGACTTTCGTCTCGCGGACCCCAACCAACTATTCTACGTCTAACAACATGACTCAGTCTACTTGTCAGTGACTTCATGTATTTGTGACATGTTTTGACCGTCTCTAGCTTCCTTTCAACCTACTCGTACACCACAGAATATAGCTGGGCGAGGAAGTCGGTGGTTGGACACTCGTATTACATGTCCCAACCGTCTCAACTGATGACGTTCCAATACTCCATTCATCCACTGATTTGCCATTCTTACCTAGAACTCATTTCCTAACGATATCATTGCTTACTCGGTCGTCTCAGGATACACGAACAATGCTTTGGAGACACCTATAATCGAATACTAATAACCTACGAATATCTGTAGTGGAACGCTTCTACGAAGAAAATACGATTTTTGAAAAATAAACATTATTGTACTCGTTTTGTTTAACTGTGCCAAAAACACTTCTTCGACTTCTTGCGCGCAACGTTCTCTTAGCGTTGCCGCCATGTTTCTCTATTTGCTGATCCCTGTGTAATGCCAACGTTCTCCTTCAATAAAACCATGGAGTATAGATTTATTTTGTTCTGTGTTTCGTCACGCGACCGTATGGAACATTTAGTGGTGGGCATAGTCAATCTGGTATCTGGATTCGCTCACTAAATATCTTCTACTCTTACCGGCCATATTTCGCGAACTGTTCTGTTGCACAGTACACTCGCGCTTGATAACACACATATTATAACATGCAATCAATTCTATGCAATAAACTTACACGTTGATATTCTATAGCTTCATGAGCTTCAGACATAATTTGTTCTGCATCATCTAATGATAAAACTTTTTGAATATCTTGAAGTGCTTTATTGCCACATTTTAATCCATTTAAAACTTCCACTTCTATTTGAGCAAATTCAATATCATTGATCAGCTGTTCAATGTTTGACAATTGATTATTCGTATTATGTATAAGATTTTCAAGATATTTTTTCTTTTTTAAAAGTAGAAGAGCACGCCTAGAAAAAAAATAGAATACGGCTTAAAACAACTGACTACTACTACCACTACTATCGCGGCTGAAGAAAAAGACCAAACCCTTCAGACAGATAAGTATCATCAAGAATCATTAATAATCATAATTATAATAATAATAATAATAACAATGATTATAATGACTCAGATACCTGTTCTAATGACATCATAAGGATTAAATATAATGAAACTCACTCACTCCTTTTTACCTTGCCTAACAAGTTCTTTTGCAAGACCTAGATCATTTTCTATTTGATTATCTAGTTTCTTAGTCATTTGATTGAGTTTATCACGTTGTCGCTTTAAATTTAAAACAGCTTTATCCTGTTCTGTAATTCTTGATCGATGTCTGCGTCTTGAAAAGAGTATACCCATTTAATTGACACTGAACAAGTTTTTTTGTGAATATTAACACTTCAATGTTGAATTTAACGACTTGGAGACACTAAATAACGCAAATGAAAGATGAGAAAGATTATAATAACAAAATAAAATGTTTACACATGTATATTGAACATTTTTAAACTGAGTACATGACAAACGGAGTGGTAAGTACTTTCTTAAATTGGCCTAGGACGAAATTAACACGAGTAAAGGAACCGAAATGGCGTAAATCATATTAAGGTGGACAGACAGACAGACAGACAGACACAGACAGATACAACGCAGAACTTCGTACGTAAGTGCATCATTTCAGGTTGCCATACCAGTCTATAAACGCAGACTGAGTCTAAAGAATATTGTTAGTAGGCAAAGAAGGAAACAAGTGAACATTGTAACTCATTAGCTACATTAAAATAAATAATAGATAAATTTTTAGCTATTGAGACTGATATCGGGTCACCAGGTTGAAGATTTATCTGGAAGTCGCTTGACAGGAATTTTGTGCTTCTATTATATGAAATAAGCGTATTACTTGAAGTGAAAAGGACGGTCCACAAAAGGATAACTGAATATAAAAAGATTACCGATCAAAGACACTAGATACGTAAATATCCGTATAATATGGTTGCACACTACATATTAGCATGTTTATCATTTTGTCTGTCCGTTAAGTAAGTAAGTATGCTTCTCAATGATCACTCTTTGTGCTCTACATAGACAAGAGTTGGACGAAACCACAACCTAAGATGGAATCAATAGACAGAACTGATAATGAAGCAAAGTGGAGTACTTAAATTTAAGATATTTATTGAAAGCTTAATGTTGAGTACGTAGTCAGTAAGTCAGTCAGCAACAACGTAGAACTTTGTACGTACGTACATCAGTTCAGGTTGCTATATCACATTATTACACAAACGCAAATGTCATTTAAAATCCCATAGTGGTATATGTGGTAGAAGTATGAGTAGTAATTGGAAAGATTAGGGTTTGAAGTTGTTATTCAAGAAGTACAATTCAGTGAAATAAATTTAAAAAGGGAAAGATAAAGGTGAAGAATCCAAAGGATTAGGATCTAAGAGAAGCCGAAGAATGGATGCATCTGCGTCACTGCAAACGATTTTGAGTCATGTCATTCAAGGTCTCTAACCATCGATTACTATCATCTCGCGGACACCACACCAACCAGGTAGTCTGCATCTGCATGACTCAGTTCAGTTGTCAGTGACTTTATGGACTTGTGCGATGTTTTGGTTTGGCCGCCTCCAAGCTTTCTTTCAACCACCTACTCCTACACCACAAAACATAGCTCGTCGAGGCAGTCGGTGGTTGAATATACGTAACATATATCTCAGAATATACCAGCAATGCTTCGAAGACATCTATAATCGAATACTAATAACCCACGAATATCCTCTATTCTTACCAACCATGTTTCACAGGCATAAAGTAGGACAGGGTGAACTGTCAGCAGTAAACCCGTCTTTTGGTCGGTAGATGGATATCTCGCCTACGCCATAAATGACGCAAGTTGGTGAAAGCCAGTCGAGTCTTCTGTATTTGCTCTGAGATTTCGTCACACACCAGGCCATCAGCGCTGATGAGACTCCCAAGATAAGTGAAGTGGTCAAAACGCTCAACTACTTAACACCCTATCACTAGTTCAGGTACCGATGCAAACCAATCCTGAAGCAATATTTTGTATTTCCAGGAGGAAAACTGTATCCTGAACATGCTTGCATTGTTCATTAAGGTAGTCAGAAGACTGTATTTTGTCAGCGTCTCCAACAAATAGAACTATGTCATCGGCATATTCTAAGTCAACAAGTGAGTCTCCTGGTAGAAACTCTACCCTTGAAAAGTCGGACGAAGAAAGTGTTATCTCTAAAAGCATGTCTATGATAGAGTTGGATAAGTATGCACAAGTAAACACAAGCGGAAGTAATCAATTCTGATGACAGTTCGCCATAAGCTCTGATTTGGCCAGCAGTGTTCGAATAGAGAGCCTGATAAAGTCAATGTAATTTTTTGGAACTCCTTTCAGTGACAGAAACTGCCACAGGACCTCACAATCTACAGAGTCAAATGCCTATATAAGGTTGACAAATCCTATTATTGTTGAGCATCTAGACATGTGTCTATGTTGTAGGACCTGAGTTAGTGTGAATATTTGGTCTATAATGCCACATCCCGGTCGGAAACCAGAATGGTTTTCTCGAGTCTGCCCTTCACGAGCCCTAGTTAGGCGTCGGAGTATTATTGAGGCTAGTTTCTCAGACACTATATTAGTGAAACTGAATCCTCTGTGAATGTCATAAGAGGAATTTAGTCCTTTCTTATAGACTGGGACAATCAGTGATTGAGATCAGTCAGATGGGATTACTTCCAGGACCCAGATTTTACCTAGGATCTCAGTCAGTCTAACTGCTAAAACTTAGAAATCTCAAGGGTAAACCTGTCAGGGCCTGCTGCTCTCCCTCATCGATTTTGGGGGTTGCTGTCATGAGATGTTTTATCTCATGCTTAAAGCTAGTTGTTGTAATTCTCTCTTAGTAAACCCAGCTATTGCTATTGCACTTAGTATTCTCTAACAACAATACACTCAACAAGTCCCCAAATCAGAACACAGTTGAACAGGGAAGAGATTATATACCAAATAGCAAGGTTAAATGGAAGTAAGAAGCCAAAGCGAAGACGAAATAGGAACAACGTTAGTATATTTATAGTTTTTACAATAGGAGCTTCTAAAATGTACTCCAAGTATCGACTAGCGCTGACTGAATGAGAATTAGCCAATCAGCGCGCAGCTAACGCAGTCATGCTTTAATCCATGTCCCGATAACACTAGTATTTTTTTAAAATGGGTTGTTATCTGGACAGAACTGCAGCAGACGGTGGCCATTATCTGTCCGATCAGACGCGATATCTTAAGATCCACCCAGGTGTCTTTCTTTTTCACTCAGTCTACCTACTCAAGTATTGAAGTTACCAACCACTATTACTACATTAAAGTGCTTAGCTTTGTGAAAGAGGTTGGAAAGCTCCCAAAAAAGTTCGTCTCCTAACTAATCTAAACTGCAATCAGAGAGAGCGTGGACAGAGACGAAGAAGAGGCAACGGCGAGTTTCCCTGACTTTCCGATTCCTTACTGTCCTGTCTAGTCGGACAGCGCACAAGCGATTGTCCAGTCTAAGAAAGCTAGTTCTGTACTAGGACACGAGAAAGCAGAAGTTTGGCTTCTAGATACACGAAGCGTGAGTCTAGATGATACTTTATTTCGAATTGGTGAGGTCAAATAAATCCTGTATGCACGTTTTGGAGATGCAGAATACATCGATTGCACGAGGCTTTAAAGTATCAGCTAAGGAAGCACGTTGCCATATTTGGCACAAGGTCTGGACACTAGAAGATCCGAAAAGTAGTTTGGAGTGTGGTTTCAAGAAACCAGGAATAAAGTTTCGCGAGCTCGAAATGTCTGCATCAGCACTGCGAGATTGCAAAGGAATAAGAGTAGGGTTGATCGTGGAGATAAGAGTTATTAAGATGTATAGGAAGGATTTGATTGTGACTAGTTTGAACCCGTGTGTTGTTACGAGTATGAGGGCGTATGTCGCTTCCCGGCTGCCAAAACTGTGGAAGAGTGCTTCTTGAAGAACCTGAAAAGGAAGCTGGATTAGTGTTGGTCTTAACGACTTGGCAGCGTGACCGCAGAGCCCCAGAGACAACTGCTTGAGGCCGGTTCCGCACAGCCTTCTTACAGGAAGATTTTGAAGTGTTAGCTCCGCTTTTCAAAAGGACTTACCGCCTGAGACGGAAATCCGTGAGATAAGGTGAGGTGTGACATTTTTGGGTCGACTTTTTCCTACCCCTTCTTTCCTTGTCAGAAGGCAGCATCGCTGCAGATGTTGGTTGTCTAAGGGAAACACCTTACTGCTGTCACGACTCTCTACAGTCAACAGTATAACTTCGCACTCACACTGGGCTACTGCTTTCAGACTTACCGTTCTCCAACCGACCTGCCTGGTATGATAGGATCTACAGGAACAAATGTTCCAGCCAACATAACTCGGTTGGGTCACCACGATAGACAAGCCCGACTACTACATCAAGGTAGCAGCTGTGGTCAAGCGATGTTACTACACACAACAATAAAATAGTAATAGTGGGTGAACGATCTTATAGCAGGTAAGAAGATAGTGTACTAAGAATTAATACAGGTATTCGACTAACAGTCACTGGTTTACTAGATTGTAATCTATCCCTCTTAAAACAGGTCAGAAAGTTAGAAACTATCATTAAGTTACACAGAATAAATTCAACTGACAGTTTAATGCGTAAGTTACAAAAAAGAATATTAATTTGAACTACGTAGAGTAGTCACATGAAATGTAGTGAGACATGATTCATTCGGTGTTTCTTGAAATCACATGATATTCGTTTAGAGGTTGTCTAAATATTTACACATTAGCATCAACTAAACTCAACTAAAGAAGTCAACAAATATCTCTTGTGAAATTTATAACACTTTTGGATCCTGACACAATAGTCCCCATAAAATAAGTTGAGTTCATAAATCTTCAGCAGTGAATGTGATAGAGATAAACTAGATTGACTATTTCTTTAGAAATTAAGTGATTAAAGTGAATACCAGCGGGAAAACATTCAATTAATTTTGTAAAGTCCAGTTTTTGGATTTCATTGTATATAATAATTACTGGTTCGGACAATAGTCCTTAGAACAACTTCAATAATTTGTCACAACATACGTTGAAAGATTACTAAGCAAGTACACCACATGGTGTTCAGGAAAGAGGTTTGTACAGATAAATATGTTAAATTGGTGATTTCTAGTGTAAAAAGTTATTTGAACTGTATTAGAAAACGAGGTGGTCAATCGAGTCGTAGAGTTATGATGTAAAAAATATATGTTGTTTAGATAATCATATAATACAGAACAATTAACGTTTGGGGTACAACCAGGAAACAGTGATATTTGTAATGGGATATTATTGAAATTTACTAAATGTGGGCATATGCTATCTATTCCACATGGAAGTGGGACTTGTTACCGAGCAGGTAGGAAGAGGTATGAAGGTCTGTGATGTAGGAAAAAAAATTGATACTACATTTGTTACGTGTAAATAACCCGACAAAGAACTGTTATCATTGCTTGTTATCCCATCAATCAAAACCTAGTGCAGAATACAACATGTAAACTATACTATACTATACTATGAGTGCTTACAGAGAATTTAGAATTTACACTGACAATGTCTTTATATGACATCTTTATAAAAATAAGTCTGAAAGAACATCGATTTTCAAGACCAGTGCGTTTAATCTGAATCAAACAAGAATGGCGAATTAAAAAACTAAGTGTGAATCTACGTGAAAGGAAGACGATAACACCAAGATGTTTATTGTATCTAAACTTCTTAATGATCGCATAAGAACAGTGGAGGAAATGAGAGTGAGGGACTCTTTTTTCTAAGGAAGAGAAGGTATTCTTACTTGGTATCTGAGCACGCTACCCGAGACAAGCCACCGCAGTAGCGTTTGATTTGAGACAGCCGCTACTATCTACCATACAATATCTAAATCACTAGCTTCTGAAAAGATTGATTTCTTTGCAACTGCTTCTTGACTTTATGGCACAGGTATGAAATTTCGATTTTTTCTAGGCATTATTCAAAGTGCATTCGACGATAGAGTTGGGCTGATATTTTCGGGTTATGCATGAATCTTCATATTCTTGAGCAGTGGGATTGCTAGGGCGAACTGCTATCACATTACAGATCATGATCTTAGTTTGTTGTAGTATGAGATATTAGACAGTTATAACTAAGGACTTAGAGGCGGAGATGACTACTGAGATGAGTGAATCAATAGCCAGAGTAAATCCAATATCTTTTTCATGAGCTTGTGCAGACCAATTGATTTCTTTGCTATCGATTCGTGTTCTTTAGGTAGTGATCAGTGGATAGGGGTCTAGCTAATTCTAATTCTATTCATTTGGCAGTTGTTTGTGAGTTTGTATGTCCTGTGATTTGAATAAGTACGTTCGTTTCAGGAAAGTAGGGTTTCCGGATACCAGCAGCTATCGCATAACCAAGGTAGGAGATCAGTTAGCTGCAGTGTGGAAAATGATAATAAGGAGATTTCAGAGGTAAGTAAATGATGGATAATTTAGTTTATTAAGTGGTAGTGAAGATTGCGAAAGAGGACCGAAGTGTCCGCAAAGGAGGTGAAACAGAGATAATAGGCGAGATAAATTAAGTTAATGATCTGAGGAGATGACAATAAGAACAACTAGCGGGACTCAAGACATGCATCAGGCATGGCTGGTCCACGAGGGACATGATAACCTGTATGTGAGTTCGTTTTTATCAATTCTCTCCTTAAAGCTGTTCACTGAGGGAACAGCGGTCACCTCTGCTGAGAGTGCATTCCAAGTTATAGCTACTCTTATTGAGAAAAAGTGTGCACTAACCTGGGTATTCGCTCTTCGATGTTCACGTTTTCGAGGATTACCTCGAGGGCCTTGGTGTTGATGCTTCGATAATACTCTTACGTTTAGATGATTTGGCATGCTTAAAATGTTATACAACATTATCGGATCACTGATTATTCTCCTTTAACTCAGAGAGCACAATTCCAAATGCTGGAGTCTATCTTCATTGGTCTTATTCTTCAACCCTTTCCCCATTTTGTTGCTCGTCTCTGCATTAAATGGAAGAGATTTATGTCTCTTTTAAGCAGATGGGATGCGACGACGTTGTGAACCTCCAGGTGTGGGCGTACGTGTCCTTAACAACATTAGGAATAATTGTGGGGTGAACGCACCAAGTTTCTTTCGCATAAATTGAAGAGTCGCATTGGCCTTAGTTGCGTTTTCTTTATCGTTCGAACTGGTGTGTAGGCTTTCAGTGGTTATTAAACCGATCCGTGCCTTCACCTCCCCATCAGACCCATCTCGCTCTTCAATGATGCTTCCTAAATATGTAAAGATTTTTAAATCCTCCAAGGCCTCTCCATCAAGAGTGATTTGGTTGGTGCATGTTGTGTTGTGTTGGAGAATGTTGCTTTTCCCTGCTTCTGAGGCTGCTCCTACACTGGTCATCTCTTGCATTTGTTTTTACAAGTGTGATAGAAGAGCCAGACCATCTGCGGAATCCAGATCATCCAAATGAATCCTGGCTGACCATTGTATACTGTGCCTCACTCCAAATGTTGATGTCTTCATAATCCAGTCGATCACCAGGAGAAGGGGAAGGTTTGAGAGTAAGCAACCTTGCCTGACACCGGTCTCCACCTCAAAGCAGTCTTTCAGCAGTCCTCCGTGCACGGTTTTGCAGTTTAATCCATCACAAGAACTCTGTATGACGTAGACTTTCTTCTCAGCCACGCTGTAGTGTCGAAGAAGACTCTATAGTATTGTCCTGTTCACGCTGTCAAATGCCTGACGTAGAGTGATAAGTTCCATTCAACTGAGTGTTCCACAATGATCTGTAATGTTGAAATTCGGTCAGTACACGATCGATCCTTGTGAAATCCAGCCAGTTGATCTCGATGTTTGGCGTCAAAGAAGTCCTTCGTTCTGTTTAACAATGCCCTGTTGAGGACTTTGCCTGGTATTGAGAAAAAAGTGATGCCTCTGTAGTTCTCACACTTGCTGGGATCGCCTTTCTCTGGTATTTTGATGAGGTATCCTTCTTTCCAGTCTGTTGGTACTAGTTCTTCATCCTAAATCCTGTTGAAGAGAGTGTGGAATGTTTTTTCAGTCGCTTCCACATCTGCTTTCATTGCCTCTGCTGGAATGTTTTCTGTTCCTGCTGCTTTGCCGCACCTGGTTTGCCTGATGACCATTCTGATCTCCTAAATTGTTAGTGGGCCAATATCGATTGGGAGGTCCAGAAATGCTGGTTTGATTTTGGGTGGGTTCATTGGAGCCGGTTGATACAAGAGTTCTCTAAAATACTCTACCCACCCGTTACGCTGTTCAGTATTGCTAAC